TAGTGAGCAGGAAGTAAAGCCGCGAAATCAAGGCCCCGCCCTCACTCTTGCAGAATCAATCGCAAACACACGCTCCGGCACTTTTAAAAATTAATTCTAGAAATTTAGATATTAAATAAAAAAAATAATAATAATAAAAAAAAGGCTGTTGGTGCTTCAGTGACTACTTTGCTCAGAGAACCTGTCAATCACAGCTGTCAATCATGACGTCACACCACCGCATTAAACAACTAACTAAAAACAAACTTATTTTAAAAACAAACACTTGAAATTACATCAGCGTGATAAAAACGACAGCAAATGACAGAAACCATCTTTGGAAAAAAGATATTTGAAGTGTAATTTAATTGTTTAGTTGGTCTCACATGCCGTTGAATAACAAGGGGAGGCGGGGTTTATGACCTATACTAGAACCGGCCACCGGGGGGCGATCGAGACGCTTTGGCTTCACTTTTCAGGGCTTGTGCGGCACGCTTGGTTGGACTTCAACAGAGGACCCGCCTACAGGGAAGTTAACGCTTGTCAACGGAGAGAGGCCAGACTCTCTGTACGAATGAACTGTTCGAGAGTCTGGTGGGACCGGACTATGGTGCCGCCCCTCGAGCTGGGCGATGTTCATTACTCAATGCCAGACCCTTAATCTTTCAGATTTGGGTCTGGATTTCCAGGCTAACTAAGTATAGCAACTAGTTACTTTTTAAGGGAGTAACGCAATATTGTAATGAGTTTCTTTACAAATTCAGAGTAACTTTCCCCAGCACTGCTCATCAGTATCGTGTAGGGGTGGAACGGTACATGTATTCGTATCGAACCGAAACGGTACGGGTGACGGTTCGGTGCACGAATTTACACGGAGAATACACGGTATAAAAATAAATAAAACTCGCGTGCAAATTAATTAATGTAATGCGGAACTACTGTTAGATACGCGGGTTCTTTAGGGACACATAATCTGTACCATCGGCTTAGCTCTGAACGCGCGTTCACTTCAAACGTTGGCTTTATACGCGCGTCCTATTCACTTTGGACTAGCGTCGAACTAGACGCGAATTTGACGCTCTATTCGCGTTTGGTGTGACCGTGACCGCATAATGAACAGGCAGCGATGTCAAGATTGCAATGCTGGAGTGTGTGTGTGTGTGTGCGAGAGAGAGAGAGAAAGAGAGAGAGAGAGAGAGAGAGAGAGAGAGAGAGAGAGAGAGAGAGAGAGAGAGGCGCGCGGGCGCGATCGAACTGTGTGTGTGTGTGTGTGTGTGAGAGAGAGAGAGAGAGGCGCGCGGGCGTGATCGAACTGTGTGTGTGTGTGTGAGAGAGAGAGAGAGAGAGAGAGAGAGAGAGAGAGAGAGAGAGAGAGAGAGAGGCGCGCGGGCGCGATCGAACTGTGTGTGTGTGTGTGTGTGTGTGTGTGTGTGTGTGTGTGTGTGTGTGTGTGAGAGAGAGAGAGAGAGAGAGAGAGAGAGAGAGAGAGAGAGAGAGAGAGAGAGAGAGAGAGAGAGAGAGAGAGAGAGAGAGAGAGACGCGAGCGGATCGAACAGTGGAAACATAAAAAACATACCGTCATTTTGTTCATACAGATCATTCCTGCAAAGTGTTTACTTATATTTGTGTACACTCGCAATAAAACACAACATTGTGCTTTTGTCACACTGTAAACTATTGTCAAACTGTAACCTACAACTGTCACCCAAACAAAATCACACACACACACACACTGTTTTAAAAGCAAAACATATTTATCCAACTCCATTTCAAAACAGTCTGTGGGTCCCATCTTTTGGACATTCATCATTGCATTGGTTTCCATTTCTCGTCCTCGGAGCACTAATCTTACGCATTCTACATTGATTAAAAAAGAAAATCTAATGCTTTTTAATGGTAGTATTATTTTATACAGAAATCAATTATTTATATAATTCAGATGAGAATAATGTTACATTGTCAATTAATAATGTTAATTAAAATTAAGGAAAACAAATATATTGATCTGAAATATAGCAAAATAATTTTAAATGAATAGTACAATTACCAAACATATCGCAAGGTCTTTTTGTCTTTTTATTAATTTAATTAATAAACTAATTATATAAAACTATTGTCAGTGCACTACAAATAAACTGGTTCTATGCCTTTATTAATAAAAACTTAGTTTAAAAATACAATGCCTTCTGCATTTTTGTTTTGCTTTTCCCTCCATTGTACCGAAATCGTACCGAACCGTGATGTCTGAACCGAGGTATGAACCGAACCGTGACTTCTGTGTACCGTTCCACCCCTAGTATCGTGTGTGTGTGTGTCAGTACGCTGATCATGTGAGTAACACAGTGTGTGTGTGTGTGTGTGTGTGTGTTTCAGGAGCATGCCCATCGCTCGTAAAGGCTCAGTCTCAGATTACCTGTACATGGCCTGGCTGGACTCGCTCACGAAGAATCTCCCGCCGACTCTCCTGATCCGTGGAAACCACCAGAGTGTGTTGACCTACTACTCATGAACAACACACACACACTACCCAACTACTCATGCTATTTCTGCAATATGCATATTGTATGTGTATCATTTCTTTTGACATATTATTTAATTAGACATTTTTATATAAAATTCACATTAAAAATGCTAAATAAAAAGTATTTAGCATGTGATATAAACTGCACACTTCTGATTGAAACATTGTTGCATATTTAAAACACCTGCTCTATCCTGCCCCCTTCTGGACATGCGTGGATAAAATATCTGTCAACACTATAAAAGCACTTTAGTGTCAAATTATTCAGAATGATCAATGAAAGTATCATGTTTTTGTACATATGTTCACTGACGGCACATTCTTATATTATCTTGTTAATCCTATTTATATTTCTGTGGTACTGGGAAAGATTGTGTGAAATTGTTTCATGTTATATATTCAAATTCAATTACATAAATGTTTTCTCACAGTAAATAAAGTTTTGGAAAATCCATTTGAATGTCTCAATAGTAAAAGTGAGTTTCCCGCTTAAGTTACTGTACTGTTTGTGTGATATGCCTGATTAAATATTTTTTTATGACTTCATAGTTGATGAAAAGTCTAAATTGTGACTTGAAAAGTCGAAATTTTGACAAATTCACAAGTTCTATGTTTTAATCTCATAATTATGACTTCGTAATAATTATAATTGTGTATGTCATTCGACAAATTTCTACTTTTTATGTCATTATGAATTACCAAAGCATGTATTTGTGGTGGAAACGATAGGTTCCGCCTTAAGTTACTGTACTATTTGTGTGATATGCCTGATTAAATAATTTATTATGACTGCATGCATAGTCATAATTATGAGATGAAAAGTCGACGGTTTAATTTCATAATTATGATTTTGTATGTCATTCGACAAATTTCTACTTTTTATGTCATTATGAATTACCAAAGCATGTTTTTGTGGCGGAAACAGGGTTCCATAAAGTTCAGCTCAAGGGTTATTATCAGAAGAAATTAATTTCACCTGAGTATTAAGGCTGACAGGACGCCGTCGTGTCGAGTTTCTCTCTCCCTCAGAATGAACCGCTTCACATTCACAATTCCGCGTCACTCCGAATCAACTTAACCGCGTTCGAGACTCGCGATGGAAGGTGAGTTCAAACGACCGTTACAGCCTCAAGAGGTCCTCGCTGCAGCCTCCAAAAACTACACAGAAAGCACATGGGAAAAACTACAACTCCCAGAATGCAACACACACAAACACAAATGGCGGTTGAAGATGATGGTTCGGTGTGTTTCTGTCGCTGCTGTTCGCGGTTTATACGGGTTTGTGTTCAGAGGTCAGAAGCTTTATAGAAACTAAAGCGAAATATAGACCGTTAATATCTGACTGCAGCCTGCAGGTTAATATTGGACTTCATTTTAGCAGTGGCTAAATCACAGTTAACTCTCCCAATTTATTATTGAATAAAAATGTGATTCGAATGCTGAAATGTGATATACATTGACAAAGGGAGGGTATATATTTTGCCGTATAATTTAATACCGACAACTGATTTAAATAACTTGCTACATATTCTGGTGTGACGACGTTATGTCGCCTTACGTCATGCAGTACCCACCACTCAGAACGTTTCCCGCGGTGGGGTCGTTCAAATAATGCGCGCGAGATTCTGGCGCGCTCAGAGTCAGAATCACAGCACACACTCACTGTAGTTTTGTCCCGAGGATCGCTCTGCACGCGCTCGTCAGTAAAATGCCCTGCTCTGAAGTTACAGAAGCGGTTTCGCCGCAGAAAAGATGCAAGAGTGATGCAGTGAACGGACATGAAGAACAAAAGGTGCTCAAATTCGCCAAACTGACAGAAAACGCCACGACACCGAGCCGAGGATCGGACCGAGCCGCGGGATTCGACCTGTACAGGTGATTCTTACACTCACTGCTTTTCCTCTCTGCAGCTGTATTTAGAGGAATAATGTGGGTTAAAATCTTTCAAACTGCAGCAAGCACTTGGATTTCCAGTGGTTACATGCACGTGGTGATTATGTGTGTGTGTGTGTGTGTTTCAGTGCATATGACTACAGCATCGGGCCGATGGATAAAGCTCTGGTCAAGACTGATATCCAGATCGCGGTCCCACACGGATATTACGGGAGAGTAGGTGAGAGTCACGTGTCCGGCCACAATACACAGAATCCGTTCATTTCCACACACAAGAAAACTATCATGCTTTGGTAAATCTTAATAATGACACAAGTCATAATTATGACATGCTAAATCATAATAATGAGGGGGGAGTTCAAAATGTCATGAAATAAAAGTGAAACCTCCGACATGCTAAATCAAAATTATGATTGTGATCGAAATTGTGGTGTCTAGTCATAATTATTAGGGGAAAAGTTGAAATGATCACAATCTTGATTTAGTATCTCATTTTGACTTTTTCCTCATACATTAAGCCATAATTTTGATGAGTATGTGCTAAAAATGTATAATTACGCCATTAAAAACCAAAATGACAAACTCAATTTTAATCTCATAATTATAATTTAGTATGTCATTTGCGTTTTTGCAAATTGACTATTTTAATTTAAACTTTTTCCTCAATAATGACATGCCCAACATTTTCTCTCATAATTTCTAATAATTCATAAGTATGACAATTGTGAGAGTAAAGTCAAAATTGTGGTGTATAGTCATAATTATGAGTGAAAAAGTTAAAATGATGAGAATTGGATTTCCAACATCTCATTTCGACTTTTTCCTCATAATTATACATTAATTCCTCATAATACAGAAAATATACACTTTTCCTCATAACAATGACATGCCAAACTTTTTATCTCATAATTTCTAATAAATCATAATCATGAGATTAAAAAGTCAAAGTTGATTTGTCATAATCATGAGATTAAAAACATTAAAATTAAACTTTTTATCATAATTTTGACCTTATAATTTGACAACTTGTGCTTTTTCTTTTTTACAAAACCATCCAATCAGACACAAGCCCCGCCCACATTTGCCCGTGTTCATGAGTGTTTTGCCTAACGCTGTGTGTTGTGTTGCAGCTCCTCGCTCGGGTCTCGCGGTGAAGCACTTCATCGATGTGGGCGGTACGTCTCTCGCTCGCGACCCTCACTGATGACCTCAGAATGATTGTCATGAATGACCTGACGTGTGTGTCGTGTTTCTACAGCGGGTGTGGTGGACGAGGACTACAGGGGGAATCTGGGAGTCGTGCTGTTCAACTTCAGCAAAGAGCCGTTCGAAGGTGAGCGGAACGTGGCAGGAATGGTGTAAAGCTCCCCTATAGCTGTTGTTACCTGACATGTTTCCTCCTGCAGTGAAGAAAGGAGAGCGCATCGCTCAGCTGATCTGCGAGAGGATCTGTTACCCGGAGCTGCAGGAGTTACAGGTGAACCTCGTCAGCCGTGTGTGATCAGCCGTGTGTGATCAGCCGTTTCATCCTGTTTTCCTCGTTTCAGACGCTGGATGAGACTGTGAGAGGAGCAAGCGGCTTCGGCTCCACCGGCACCAACTGAAACCCTCAACTGTAGAAATGCTGCTTTAAATGTTTTTCACAGTTCATCGTAACACTTTACAATAAGGCCTCGTTTGTTAACAATGAGCGAGTATTTGTTAGTTCACAGTGCATTAACTAATACAACTAATACAATTTTGATTTGAATGAAGTACTAGTAAATGTTGATTATCATTAATATTAATAAATGCTGTAGAAGGATTGATCAGGTTAATGAAACCTTATTGTAAAGTGTTACCAATTGATTATTTCACTGATTGATGTAAAATGACAATACAAATAGTTTGTACATGATTCTGAAAGTGTTATTAAATGACATTTTATGATGATATTTCTTAGTGTTGACTGTTCACTTTTTGCCCTCAGTTACCCAGAAATTTTTCTACATTACTGTAATATTCATTAAAGTGAATTAATTAGCTGTTAAAGGATCCACTGGAACATCTGTGAATGTTTTACTGGCGTCACCATTGTGTGTTTCTACAGGAGTGGCTTTATTTTTCATTGATTTAGTTTGTTACACTTGTTTATTATTATTTTTGGTTACATTTGCAATAAGGCTTCATTTGTTAAACTTAATGAACAATACATTATTAGTTTATAGCACTGTATCCTTACACTAACATTGGGTAATAATGGCTCATTGCTAGTTAATGGATTGACTAATGACTTGTAAAGTGTTACTGATATTTTAATATCTACTATTTACATTGCTATTTTTATTTTGTATAGTATCTTAAACACACGGCAGGCTTTAAACCCTTATAGTGATAGTGAATGTCTACTGGGCAGTTTATAAAAAACATCAAATATTGTGTGTTTTTGTTGAGATCAGATAAACTGCTCATGCTAAAAATTGTAATCTTGTAGTTATAATACTGTACACCATTGCTGAATGAACATTAATACCCCAAATACATTAATTAACCCTATAAAACCTATTTCATACACAGATTTCTAATCTAAATGATCAAAACTTTAACTAATAGTTTAAATGTTTTATCCAGTAAAAGTCTTTCAGTGTAATCTTATCAATCTAAAACATAACTTTGGTATTGTTGGTAATATTTCAACTGGACTGAAGCAGGTTTACTTGATTATTCAGACATTCATTAGAAAAATATCAAATATGATCATCAGGCTTTTGAGGAAGGTTTAATTGTTCATCTGTCAATCATTGTATTGCATTATATGTTTTAAAACTAAGCACTTAAATATCTTACTAAGACATATTATTTGTTGATATTGATATGCAAGTATCTGCTATCCTGTTATAAAATCTCATTGATTTACATTACAAGCATCATAATTTCATCACTTTTTGTCCATAAACAGGTGAAACTCAAAAAATGAGAATATGGTGCAAAACTTTATTTCAGTAATTCAACTTAAAAGCTGAAACTAATATATTATATAGACTCATTACATGCAAAGTGAGATATTTCAAGCCTTTATTTGTTATTTTGATGATTATGGCTTATGAAAACCCCAAATTCAAAATTAGAATATTGTAAAAAGGTTTTCAAGCCATAATCATCAAAATTATAACAAATAAAGGCTTGAAATATCTCACTTTGCATGTAATGAGTTTATATAATATATTAGTTTAAGTTGGATTACTGAAATAAAGTTTTGCGCGATATTCTAATTTTTCGAGTCACCTGTATCAGCTTCTGCACCAAATTGCATATTTTTACTCAGTTTGAGCTGAATTTTTCCTTCATATTCTCACTATATGAGCCATATAAAAGCCTGATGCATCAAATATGATACTCAAACACATATGCAAACTTCTATAGTCTAAAAAATGTTTCATATGTCAGGCTTTACTGGGTTAATGACTGCCACAGTATTACCAATACAACTGGTTTACAATCCAATCGTCATGTGACTCTCGAATGAATGATTCTGCTGTTCGGAAATCAAGGCAAGCGGTCGAGTCGACCCAAACAACCAAAAATATGTTTTTATTGTGAATGTACAACTAAACCCCTCACGAGTGTGAAGACAGAACAGAACGGCGTGGTTCTCCAGGCCGAGGCCCGACGGCGTGTGTGTGGAAGTGTGTGTGGCCGCGAGACCTCAGTGCATCGAGTCACAGAAACACAGTTTACAAGTAGTTGGTCATTATAAGAAGCACCATTACAAACCCCTCCGTTCCAGGGGTCCTCTAGTTTACATCGCGAGTAACAAAGTGACACGGTTACAGTATAGACACACTTAAATTACATGTGGTATAGTTGCAGGAGAACAGAAGCGTCGGTCAGCCGCTTGTAGACGATTATTACAGTGCATGAATCGATGCGCTCACGTGATGCACTGCCAAACATGGCGTTCTTCCTCAGGGTTTCTGTCTCGCTTTCCAGCTCAAATATCGAAACGTTCTTAAATCAAGATGCATTTACTGGAGAAGCGACATGACTGAAGATATTAGGTCTTGCTTACTGAAAAATGTTTAAAAATTAAGCGCGTTTGTGCTAAAAACAAAGAAAAATAGTGAAAATCCAGCGTTTAATGTTGTTTATGTGTCTATGTGGTGTTATTAATACGCTTTAAGACACACCATGTGTAAGTTCATAAGTCGACAGCATTGCTGAGTATTTCCTCCTTAAAACTGCAGTGAACCAAAGACAGTCTCAAAAACACGGTTTGAAATCGCTGGTGTTTCTGACGTCACAAACGACCTTGTAACCAATCAGATCAACGTGTTATCGTCAACCAGTGGATCTCTGAGCTGAGGGAGTGAGTGGAGGCGGGGCTCATTTGCATATTCATAGAACCGCGCATACTAAATGAGGCGAGGGTGTCGAGTTACATTCAAGATATTTTAAGGCGTGAAGAATTTTTTTTCCAAGGAAATATTTTAAATACGTAATTTTGGTGATTAAGATGAGTTATAAGGGATAAAATGATTGACTACAGGGGGACTTAAAGTCATTTTGCTTCTCAAGTAAATGTACTGTTATTTAAAGAGGAACTATATGCCCTTTTACAGTCTTGATGATGTTTTCAGGCTCTACTAGAACAGGTTTTCCTGCTTGAATGTTGATTATTTTCCTCATATTCTCCATTGTTGCGGCTCCTCTCAACCAGGCCCCGCCCCTTTATTCTGCGTATGAATTATTATAATGAGGAATATTGTGACGTGTTCGTTCCCGGAAGCTAACTCGAGACTACAATGGAGCCGTTTCAGGGGTTCAGAAACACTGACACTGATATAGAGGAGAACTGGAGCTTCTTCAACATCACACACTGCAGAAACAATAGGACCTCTTTACGTTTCTTTTTCTGATTTCCATTGGCAGTTTTTGTTGTTTTAAGCAACCATTTCAGAAACCAAGACTATCTCAAGTCATTTTGCTTTTCAAGTCTCTTGATTTAAGAATGTTTAGATATCTGTACTAGAAAACAAGCCAAAAACACTGTTAAAGGGATAGTTCACACAAAAATGAGAATTAGCCCATGATTTACTCTCCCTCAAGTCATCCTAGTGTATATGACATTCTTCTTTCAGACGAACACAATCAGAGTTATATTAAGAAATGTCATGGCCGTCTGCCGGAAGCTAGTTATTTTAGTCAAAAAGTTTTAAATATGGACATTTTTCTTACATGAATGCATCACTTCAGAAGGCCTTTATTAACCCGCCAGAGCTGTGTGGATCACTTTATGATGGATAGAGGCACTTTTATGATGGATAGAGGCACTTTTATGATGGATAGAGGCACTTTTATGATGGATAGATGCACTTTTATGATGGATAGATGCACTTTTATCATGGATAGATGCCCTTTTATGATGGATAGATGCACTTTTATCATGGATAGATGCACTTTTATCATGGATAGATGCACTTTTATCATGGATAGATGCACTTTTATGATGGATAGATGCACTTTTATCATGGATAGATGCACTTTTATGATGGATAGAGGCACTTTTATCATGGATAGATGCACTTTTATCATGGATAGAGGCACTTTTATCATGGATAGATGCACTTTTATCATGGATAGATGCACTTTTATTATGGATAGATGCACTTTTATGATGGACAGATGCACTTTTATGATGGATAGATGCACTTTTATGATGGATAGATGCACTTTTATCATGGATAGATGCACTTTTATGATGGACAGATGCACTTTTATGATGGACAGATGCACTTTTATCATGGATAGATGCACTTTTATCATGGATAGATGCACTTTTATGATGGACAGATGCACTTTTATGATGGATAGATGCACTTTTATCATGGATAGAGGCACTTTTATCATGGATAGATGCACTTTTATGATGGATAGATGCACTTTTATCATGGATAGAGGCACTTTTATCATGGATAGATGCACTTTTATGATGGACAGATGCACTTTTATGATGGATAGATGCACTTTTATCATGGATAGAGGCACTTTTATGATGGACAGATGCACTTTTATGATGGATAGAGGCACTTTTATGATGGACAGATGCACTTTTATGATGGATAGATGCACTTTTATCAAGGATAGAGGCACTTTTATCATGGATAGAGGCACTTTTATGATGGACAGATGCACTTTTATCATGGATAGATGCACTTTTATCATGGATAGATGCACTTTTATGATGGACAGATGCACTTTTTTGATGAATAGATGCACTTTTATGATGGATAGATGCACTTTTATGATGGATAGATGCACTTTTATGATGGATAGATGCACTTTTATGATGGATAGAGGCACTTTTATCATGGATAGATGCACTTTTATGATGGACAGATGCACTTTTATGATGGATAGATGCACTTTTATCATGAATAGATGCACTTCTATGAACTTAAAAAAATATACAGCCGATCACTGCCATTATAAAGTTGGGAAGAGCCAGGACATTTTTTAATATAACTCTGATTGTGTTCGTCTGAAAGAAGAATGTCATATACACTAGGATGGGTTAAGGGAGAGTAAATCATGGGCTAATTTTCATTTTTGGGTGAACTATCTCTGAGAGTGTTTTGTGCAGTGCAGCAGCAGTAAGATGCGATAGATTGAGCAGCGAGAAAGAGAGAGAGAGCGAGCGAGGCTCTTCGGCACGCGTGCGGCTCGCGTCCGTTCCTCCACAGCGTCTATATTGGGATGCGAGCGTATGATGGAGAATAGCGCTGCACGATTAATCGGAATTTCCATGTAATCACACTTAAACCGATTATTTTGTGTGTGCAGCGTGTCAGTGAAGCACGGCTCAGTAAACGCTGCTCACTCTGAAAACACTGAGTTTGAGTCACTTATAACGTGCATTTGAAAAAGCAACACGCGTCAAACATCTTTCCAAACATAAGAAGCATTTATGAACCTCTTGTCCAACAAAAGACAACATTATAACATGCTTTTACTCCAAACTCACTTCATCAGGACAGTTGAGCTGGTCCTTCTGTGAGATGATGCGCTTCTCACACAGAATACGGCAGTCGTGTGTTTATTAGTCGTGTTTAATCAGAGCGTTTCAATCTACAGCGATAGTGTGATGCCGATAGGGATTTCCTGGAATGACGTGTTATTGTACTTCTGCGGGGCATATTTGGCATGTGTGTGTGTGTGTGTGAGACGCCCTCTGGTGTTCAGATGGAGCAGCGTTTACTACCGATCAGTCGTGCATAAAATAATCGCAGCCTTTGCCAAATCGCGTGCGGTTTCATTGCGATTAATCGCGCAGCGCTAGTGGAGAGGAAGGTGCTGGTCTTTGGCCGTAGCTGTGGGCGGCAGTCTGTGCGTTTGCTGGATCAGTGCAGGACGATCTGAACTCGCATGAGCAGAGCGTGTCCCAGCTGCGCGCTGAGGTAGTCCGAGTCCCCCGGCTCGAGTCCGCCGGCCCGGCCCACGCTGCGGATCTGCAGAGAATACACACCCGGCTGGAGAGGCTTCTTCTTGGATATGTGCAGGTAGCTGACGCCGTGCTTCTGGTTCATCAGGAACAGGCCGTCGTCGTTGCCGTACTCGATGGCGTAGCGCACGTGATCGCTGAGCGTCGACAGCGCCGGGACGAACTCGATGATGTGGTCTTTGCTCTTCAGCGTGCTCATGTTCAGATGGAGATGGAGTGTGTCGTCCACGTCCACACTAGCTGAGTCCAAATCGTTCTGGAGAAACACACACACACGATGTGTTAGAGGAATGGTGGATCCTTTAAACCACATGCACATATTCAGACATGAGATAAATTAACAGAAACTGGCAGGGCCGGCTCTAGCCCTTTGGTTGCCCTAGGCGAGATTGAGTTTTGCGCCCCCTCCCCTCCCCTCCCCCCAGTTGCATTGTACAAATACATTTGATCTGACCATGTAACTTGAAGTAGATAAATTAAAATTTCTACCACCATTATTACTAATCTAATGGGCTGCTACAAGGCTAAGGGGGTTTAAGAAAATTTTGTGCATTTTAATTTTCTCTCTGTTAAATTTGCACACTGAATATGGGTTGGAGCTTTTAATTTTGAACTCTCAAAGTGCACCAGATTGATGGATTTAACACCTGTCCTTTGGACTTCTCTGCCTCTTGAACTTAGGGAAGCCCAGTCTTATGCCATTTTTAAAGGTCAACTTAAGACATACTTTTTTAAACTTGCATTCACTTGTTGATGTGTTTTTTTTTAACAATTGCCCATTGTTTAGGCCTATACAGCGCTTTGAGAAGCTGCTTTTAAAGGCGCTTTATAAAATAAAGGTTATTATTATTATTTTGTTAGTGTCTGTCTACATTACACTACTGCATAATAATAGTTATAATATTAATCCCATGACAGTAATAGGCTATTCCTTTTCTAGGCTATTCCTAAGATATATTCCTTTATTTTTATTATTGCATTTGTTTTACAATATATGGCTATTACTAATAGCAATATATTGTAAAACAAATGCAATAATAAAAATAAAGGAAACTTTCATAGCCTAATAAGTTTTGTACACATTTCTATACTTGAAAGCTATTATAACCCAGCGCCACGCCGCCACCAATTAAACAAAACAAAACGAATGTACGAGTTTTATGGGCCGTTCAGACAAAAAATAAATAAATAAATAAAAGTATTCGAGACGTATCGGCCCAAAAAGCACGTCGGCCCACCGGGAATCTCCTGGTAGTCCCGATGGCCAGTACATGCCTTTGCACAATACTTAGTACATTTATTTCGTTTGACGCCTTAATGGCTGAGATGAGAAGACTTACCTCTATACTGGGCTTTCTTATTATCTTGTTCCTTTCTACTTTTCTTCCCTGTGCACCAGAGGGTTTTGACCGCTTCATTTTCGATCAACGCGCCAGCATTGCCTTGCCTAACGTAACGCAACTCCCCCCTCCCCCCATTAGGAAATGATTGACAATAATCATCAATTCAATCTAATAATTGTCATTCTAATTCTATGATTAATGGGAAGTAGACAAAGGGCGACACTAGAGGGCGCCTGCGCCCCTAACACATTTGCCGATCGCCTAGGCCGCCTATAGCAATCGCCGGCCCTGGAAACGCTAGTTACGCATGTAACTGTGGTTCTGTGAATTCTGGATGACCGCCAGAGGCAGTGTAAACACTATGGATTATCGCAGCGCCAGCTAGATAGGTCGAGAGAATATACCAACAAAGTCACGTGGCGTGACGTATGCTGAGCCCTGGAGGGTAAAGCTACAGTAGCTCAGCACTCTACCTCGGTACGCCTTTCTCGCGCATTCTGAGTGACAGAGAACTCTGGCGGTCATCCAGAATTCACAGAACCACAGTTACATGCGTAACTAGCGTTCTGTTTCATTCTTACTGACCGCCAGAGGCAGTGTAAACACTATGGATGACACATACCAACATAGTCATGAGGAATGCCACCCACCTGATAAAATTAAGGCTGCTCCAGAAGAACCGCAGAACTAACGGCATGATGAGCAGCAATGTTGACCTTATAAAACCGGGCAAACGTGCATGGAGAAGCCCAGGTAGCAGCAGTGCAGATATCCACCAGGGAAACTCCTCTAAAAACAGCCCATGAAGATGAAATGGCCCTAGTGGAATGGCAGGTTAGTCTCCAGGGCAGTGGTCTCCCTGCCGCCTTGTAAGCCAGCGTAATGGTCTCCACTATCCAGTTCGACAACCTCTGTTTCGACAATGGAGCACCTTTCTTCACACCACCATGGCAGACAAATAACTGGTCTGACCGTCTAAATTGAACAGTAGAGTTCAAATAACACTTCAAGGCCCGAACAGGACACAAGAGTTGGGCACTTGAATCGGACCCTGAAGAAGTCTGAAAGGAGGCCAGTTCAATATGCTGATTTATGAACTGAGGAAGAAGGACCTTCGGAAGAAAAGAAGGATTGGGTCGTAGAACCACCCCGGAGCCATCCGGTAACCAACGCAAGCACAGTTCACTAACAGACAACGCGTACAACTCACTGACTCGTTTCGCCGTAGCAATAGCTAACAAAAAAGAAGTCTTCAAGGACAACCATTTAATGTCAACATTTTGCAAGGGCTCAAACTGGGGTGAGCACAGGAATGCAAGTACGAGTGACAAATCCCACACAGGAAAATGAGGATTCCGAGCAGGGTTCAGACGGCGTGCGCCCTTCAGAAAACTGCAGACAAGACGGTGAGAGCCAAGAGAAGAGCCACCAACTGGAACATGATATGCAGAAATTGCAGCAACGTACACTTTCAACGTGGAAGCTGCTTTTCCTTCCTCCAGTAAACGTTGAAGAAAACTTAAGACACGCGGAATGTCGCATGTTGCAGGATCGAGCCCCCGTTCCTCACACCATGCAGAAAAAAGCTTCCAACGTGAAGCATAAATCTGTCGTGTGGAAGAAGCCCTAGCATTAGAGATGGTGTGAATAACAGCAGGGTCACAATGCTCTAGGGAAGGATTTAACCCAATGGCCAGACCCAAAGCTGCAGACGAGCTGGGTCCGGGTGCCAGACACTGGCCTCCAACTGGGAGAGGAGGTCCTTCCTGGGGGGAAGCTTCCATGGATTGCCTGTCAGAAGTCTCAGCAACAAAGGAAACCACGGTGTGGCTGGCCATCGTGGTGCCACGAGTAACACTCTGTGCTTGCACAGGGAGATCCTGTGCAACGTCTCCCATAACAGAGGGGTAGGTGGAAACGCATAAAGCAGGCAGTTCGGCCATTCGTGAGACAGCGCATCCTGGCCCAGGGGGCTCGACACTTCTGTCCTTGCGAACCATAAGCGACAGTGGGTGGTCATCTCTGAAGCAAAAAGATCCACCTCTGCTCTTCCAAATCGTAGCCAGATCTCCTGCACTACATCTGGATGAAGCCTCCATTCTCCTGGATGTACTTGATCCCTGGAAAGAGCATCTGCTGTCTGGTTGCACACTCCTGGAATATGAGCTGCCCTCAGTGAAGCGAGTCGTGGCTGCCACCATTTCAGGATCTCGTGAGTCAACCATAGAGACCTGCGGGGTCTCGTGCCGCCCTGGTGGTTCAGATGGAACACTGTTGAGGTATTGTCTGACCGAACAAGTACATGGCGGCCTGCCAGAACCGGCATGAAGTACTTTAGAGCCAAGAACACTGCCCTGAGTTCTAGCAGGTTGATATGTTCCGCGGCCTGGATCGGAGTCCAGCGCCCGGAAATACCCCTCCGATTCCACGTTGCCCCCCATCCTGTGAGGGAAGCATCTGTCGTGACCAACTCCCGACGAGAAGGAACAACACCCAGGGGAACTCCTGCCTTCAGAAACTCTAACTGTCTCCACCGCCTCAACGCACATATGCAACGGTGAGAAATTATAACCAGTTGATGACGATGTCTGGTGGGATCTAGCCGCAAACTGTTGTTCCATAACTGGAGTGGTCTAAGATGGAGTAAACCCAGGGGGATCACAACTGTAGCCGCTGTTAACATCCCTATCAGTCGTAGGACCATCTCGTACTGCAAAGACACACCCGGACGAAAGCGAGCCAAAAGTTGTAGAATGTTTGTCACACGTTCCTGAGACAGGGAGGCAGACATTAGGCAGGAATTCAGGGTCATTCCTATGAACGTAGTGGTCTGTGATGGAATCAAACGGCTCTTTTTCTTGTTCACAGAAAACCCCAGCTTCTGCACATGTCTCAAGAGCAGTCTGGAGTCTTGTAATGCCTGCTGCTCTGTGGGGGCACAGAGAAGCCAGTCGTCCAAATAAGGAAGAATACGCATACCTCTCATCCAAAGAGGAGACAGAGCTGCGCTCACACACCTTGTGAAGACGCGAGGAGCAAGGGAAAGGCCGAAGGGTAGCACTTTGAACTGGTATGCTTGATTCAGGAAACTGAAACGTAGAAACTTTCTGTGATGTACAGCAATTGGGACGTGAAAGTATGCATCTTTCAGATCGACACTTACAAACCAATCGTCTGCTGTCACAGACCGGAGAACACTAGCACTTAAGTATTGCTGTTCACTTAAGCACTTAAGTATTGCTGTTCATAACAGCTAGTTTCGATTTGGGCCATTGTCGGGATATTTGCTTTCGCTGTGCTAATTGCAAGGGCTGTTAAAGCAGATATAAATTAGAAGTAAATTCAGGTGAAAACCAGGACAAGCAGTCACTCGGCGAGAACGTCAAGAGCGCGTAAGTTGTTTTTTCTTAATATCCAGTTCTCCTGTTTCTCTGTTTACCATTTGTCAAGTAAGTAGGGCTATTTTCTACCAGCTCTCACACACATTATCAACTCATCCCTCCACACTGGCATTTTCCCTACAGCATTTAAGCAGGCTCGGGTAACCCCTCTGCTTAAAAAATCAACATTAAACACATCACTTCTAGAGAACTACAGACCTGTCTCTCTCCTACCATTCATTGCGAAAACACTTGAACGAGTTACTTTTAACCAAGTATCATCCTTCCTGTCTCTGAACAACCAGCTGGATGTCAACCAATCTGGCTTCAAGAAAGGACATTCAACTGAGACTGCATTGCTGTCAGTCACGGAAGCCCTGCGGGTCGCAAAAGCTGCTTCCAAATCATCAGTTCTCATTCTACTGGACCTGTCTGCTGCCTTCGACACTGTGAATCATCAGATCCTCTTGTTTGCCCTCTCATCACTGGGCATCACTGGAACCTCCCTCAACTGGTTTAAGTCCTACCTCACAGGTAGGTCCTTCAAGGTCACATGGAGAGGGTGAGGTATCCAAAGCATATCAACTGACCACAGGCGTTCCTCAGGGTTCAGTTCTCGGACCGCTCCTCTTCTCCATTTACACCACATCACTGGGACCTATCATACAGGCACATGGTTTCTCTTACCATTGCTATGCTGATGACACCCAGCTCTACCTCTCATTTCAACCAGATGACCCCACAGTAGCTGTACGGATCTCAAGCTGTCTGGCGAACATCTCGGCATGGATGAAGGAACATCACCTGCAGCTCAACCTGGCAAAGACTGAGCTTCTCGTCCTCCCTGCCAATCCGTCTCTACAGCACGACCTCACTATCCAGCTAGAGTCATCCTCAATCACCCCATCAAGGTCGGTCAGAAATCTTGGAGTAATCTTTGATGATCAGCTGACCTTCACAGACCACATTACAAAGACAGCTCGATCATGCAGGTTTGCTATGCACAACATCAGGAAGATCAGGCCTTTCCTAACTGAGCATGCAACACAACTTCTCGTCCAGGCCCTGGTCATTTCTAGGCTTGATTACTGCAATGCTCTTCTGGCTGGACTTCCATCATGTGCAACTAAACCTCTACAAATGATCCAGAATGCTGCAGCTCGTCTGGTCTTCAACGAGCCCAAAAGGGCCCACGTCACTCCTCTGTTCATCTCTCTGCACTGGCTACCACTCGCTGCTCGCATCAAGTTCAAGGCTTTGACGCTTGCTTACAGATTGACCACAGGTTCAGCTCCCTCCTACTTCCACTCACTACTACAAGTCTACATCCCTACCAGAAGCCTACGATCGGTCTATGAGCGACGGCTCGTGGTACCATCACAGCGGGGCACAAAATCACTCTCCAGAACATTCTCATTCACGGTTCCATGCTGGTGGAATGATCTCCCCACCCTCATCCGGAATGCAGAATCCCTGACAACATTCAAAAGACAACTGAAAACTCATCTCTTCCGGGAGCACTTAACATAAAAAAAAAAAAAAAAAAAAAAAAAAAATCCTTTCCTCTAAATCCTCGCTTGCCTGGCTTATGCTACTCCGAGCTATGTCTGAACTTTGTATTTTGAGCACTTCTTGCGTTGCTTTTGCCTCTTCACGATGACTCGCTTGGTTTAGTCCTCAGTTGTAAGTCGCTTTGGATAAAAGCGTCTGCTAAATGACTAAATGTAAATGTAAATGTAACATCGGCTGTGCGCAGCATTCGAAAGGGAAGGACCTTCAGGAACAAATTCAGAAGCCTTAAATCGAGAATTGGGCGGAAACCACCATCCTTCTTTGGAACAAGAAAATAAGTTGAATAGAATCCGTCTCTCTGAACGAGGGGATGAACTTTTTCTATGGCTCCCTTCTCTAACAGTGAACAGATTTTCAGAGAGAGAGCCACTGCGCGAACCGCGTCTCTGACAATCGTAGGAACAATTCTTGAAAATCTGGGAGGCCGGCGCCGAAACTGTAGAGTATATCCCCTGCTCAGAGTCGCCAACACCCAGGGGTCTGCTGTGTTGGATCTCCAGTACTCCAGTTGCTCTACAGAAAAACGATCGACCGCCGACCTGACTGTCTCAGGCTTTACGTGTCCGATTTTTAGTGGTCGCGGGGGGACGCTGACGGGGCCCTCCCGGAAACTGTCGATGAGGTGGGCGAAAAACTCTCGCATCTTCAGGAACACGAGGTCTTTGAGGGGGCTGTGACTGAGGTGTAGCGTGCCGGCGGAAACGCTGCTCCGATGCGGCATAGTGATGTCGGGTCTGAACCGCTGGCATCCTAAAGGTAGGGTTGCGCTCCACCTGTGTCAGCTGACGAGTGGCTTCAGACAGCTTTACCCGCTTTTCCAACAGTTCCGGAACATTTGGACCAAAGATATGCCCGGGAACAAAAGGAAGATCTCTCAAGGTTTTCTTACAGTCCTCCGGCAGTCGTGCTTGGGCAAGCCACACTTGGCGGCGGGCTGCCAGAAGCGTGGCTGTAAGACTACCCAGCTCGCGGGTCACATGGCCTGTTGCCAACAGAGCAGTTTGCAGAAATTGTGAAATAGAGGGATCTGCATTTGCAGGTTCCAGCGTACTGGTGGCAGCAAGAAGTAACTGGCAGATCGTGTTTTCTGCTCGAGTAATGTAGGCAACAGACTCATATGCCTTTTTTAGCAAGGAATCCGTACGACCGCATTGCGCACTGGGGCATCGCACATTCCCTCGTAGAGCCTCATCAGGAGAGACCACCAAAGCTGCCACAGGCTGCTCTATTTCCGGAGCACGACCCACCCCGATAGAATCTGCTTCAGCCATAGATGCTAGCGTTCGAGCAATCTTTGAGCGCCGCTTAGGTGGACCAGAACCAGTGAGAGCATTTGAGAATTCAGCCACAAAATCCTTACATGGTGGCATGGCAAAAGAAGTTGCAGCTGTGGTCTGTCTGAAAAACACATTAGTTTGTGCAGATTGGACAGGTGACTCATCAAGTCCTAGACGAGCAGCTGCCATTCGAAGCACAGCCAAAGTGTCATCAGAGGAGGACTGGGCTTGTCCAGACGACTGAACTGACCCCCCACTAGAGCCCTCTGCTGCTGGGTAACCAGTGAAAACAGCCTGAGGTGATGGTTGTGTAGCAACATCCATTGGATCCCCATGATCGTGAAAAAAGGAATCTGAAGCACTTGTAGAAAGCACATCAAACTCTGAACGATGAGAAAAACAAGGGGAATCAAGAGACTCTTCCCCAGCTCCCTGGTTTTGAACATTCTCATCCTCCTGTGTCATCCTCACAGGTGTAGCAGATGTGACCGGCTGAAGTGAGTGAAGCAGGCGTTTCAGCTCTGCCATCTCTGAAGAAAGCACCGACACCGTCATAGAAAGTGAACCTTTCTCAACATGTGAATGTTCATCATCTCGCGATTTGGCCTTCTTAGCTGGGAGGGGAGCACCAGCTGCCGCCGACGCCCTGCACTTCCGAGTGCGCGAAGGGGCTACATCTAACTGCCCTAGTTTCACTGTAGAATTAGGGTCTAACTCGGCAAGACGGAGCCGTCGTTCCGACATAGGCAAAAGGCTGCAGTGCATGCACGGGTCCGTGAGAGCCTCTCGCAGATGTTGAACACCCAAACACGACGGGCAGATGTCATGACCGTCGTCAGGGAGAAGATTATTAGGGCACAGCTTACAAGTCTGTGGAAAACCAGTGGCTATCGAGCTGTGAGCCATAGTTACTCGCTAATAACACCCTCGGATAGTACCGTAAGGTTAAGTTAAGCGGGATGAAAAAATAATTAAAATAAAATAAAACGATTACCTCGGGTGAACCGACAGGTAATACCAACAAAAATTTTACGAAAAAAGATAAAAAGTGTCTAAAATGGCCGGCGGATTGAACCGAGGGACAAAAAGTGTTACATGGATACGAGGGAAAAAAAACACTCTAAGTAGATAACTTACGTCAACTGGAGACCGTTAACTCATAGCGCGGCAAACACAAGCCACCGGATTGCACCGAGAGGCACAGAGTGTTACCGACGAAGCAATATGAAAAAACAAAACTCACCAAGTGCCGTTAATTTAAATCCAAATTCCTTGAAAATCCAAATCCTTGCAATGGCGAAGACACGCGCTGTCACAGCTTGTGAGGACGAATCTCGCTGCTCTTGTAAGCTGCACTTGACAGCGCGTCACTCAACCAATACAACCTATCTCAACTAGGCGAGAAAGCGAAAGAGGTAGAGTGCTGAGCTACTGTAGCTTTACCCTCCAGGGCTCAGCATACGTCACGCCACGTGACTTTGTTGGTATATTCTCTCGACCTATCTAGCTGGCGCTGCGATAATCCATAGTGTTTACACTGCCTCTGGCGGTCAGTAAGAATGAAACAGAACTGGGAGTGTTGATATATTTAGCCCTCATACTGTATTCCGGTCAGAGGATTGTTCCCCTGAAAATGCTTGTAAATGTCATCGCATTGAACTAAAACGGATTGACTTTGCTTTGCTTTGGGGGGGGGGAGGGGTGTTTATCCACCTTGTTACACTTGTGTTGTTCACGGGTCAAAAATTGCTAATAAATCTCTTGTTATGCTGTGTTATTGCAAAATACTGCATTCAATCTTGTTTTATTTCAATTAACACAGGTTTTAGGTGTCTCTTTTGGAACCGATTTAAATAAGCTTGAGTGAATTTTTCCACTCAAACACGGATCAATGAGCTCTACGATTGGTCAGATACAAAAAGAAACCTAAAAACGGTGCTAACTGAAAGAAAACAAGTTGATAAAAAAGATTGAATCAAAATTTGCCGGAAGTTTTCTGGGTTTTCCCAGGCTAACCTGGAACACCAAATTAGGCAAAATTTTCAGCACAGAACAAAGGGTTAAACCATATTTGTGTTATTCATGCAGTAATTATAACAAAGCTGCTTGTTTTTTAACTTTTGGGAGTGTTGATATATTTAAATCAATTGGCCTCTCTGGAGATAGAGAGAGTTAAGTCATTAGTTTAATGACTAAAAGTCATTTACATTTGACATTTTAATCGATGAATTTGGCAAACGCTTTTATCCAAATCGACATACATCGCATTAAAGGTCAGTTCATGCCTTCTCTAGGAGTTGAACCCATGACCTTGGTGTTGCTAGCGCTATATTTTGTGCATATTTGTGCTCTAATTTGATCATATCTGTGCATGTTTGTGTGTTTGAGCAGCAGAAATGAAGAAACCCATAGTGTTTACATATTCAGATGTTTCCCCAAAACCTCCACCTCATCTGTAATGACATCATCCATGCTTAGATTTCTGGGTAATCTTTCAGAGTTCGTGTCTTGTGTGTTGACTAACATCGGTCACATGTGGATCACACCTGATGAGCTCATCAGTGAAGGTTACCTGGAGCTCCTCGGTTGCGTTGGCGTCCCTGCGTTTGCGGCCCTTCTTTGGATATCCGTTGATCTTACACTCGTAACAGGCCTCGGGAGAGAGCGAGTTCTCGTCGGCGTCGGATGAGGGAGTCTGAGGAGACAGACCCGCTCCAGAGAGACAGTGACTGAAACACACACACACACACACACATCAGATTTACACATGAGGGATCCAATACAATTCACCAGAAATGTGCATCGACTGATACAGGAGTTTATAAAGCATTAAACAGCTGTTACACACATTATTTTTGTATTATTTATATAGTTCTGTAATATTTATTAATATTTTATTCAGAGCTGATTTATAGCAGAATTTGAATTTGTCTCATATTTCATTAAGTTTGCCTCACTGATTCTGTTAAAATCCAAAGTGAAGCTGCTTTGAAACTCTTTATTGAGATAAATGTGGAGTGTGGCAGTGAGAGTTCGGTCCTCAAGGGGGCGACAGTTTCCTTCAAAATCTAGAGTTTCTTCTAAAGCGCCCCAAATGTGTGTGAACCCAGCTATAAACAAATATGTTCTAAGAACATTGTGCTAACGTTCTTATTGAGTTATTTAAAAATGATTTCTGAACATTCAAAAAGTACAGTTTTTATATTTTTTTAAAAACATTTTTTTCTTGGTTATGTGAACGTAAAGGGAACATTTACTTTTGTAAACATTATTGGAAAGTTACTTTTGAATGTTCTAAATCAGGAAGTAACATTTAAAAATAGTCAGACGAACATTCAACTAAAAAGTTTCAGACAAAACGTTCCACGGGCCCTGTATAAATAATGCTTTTGTGCTGATGAGAACGTTATTAAAGAACACATAACTTTGAACAAACGTTCTATTAATGTTACTGGAAGAACGTTCCCTGTTAGCTGGCTATTAGTTTGTGTGCGTGTGTATGTGTGTGCGTGCGTGCGTGTGTGTGTGTGTGTGCGTGTGTGGGCGTGCGTGTGTGTGTGTGTGTGTGTGCGTGTGTGTGTGCGCGCGCGTGTGTGTGCGCGCGTGTGCGTGTGTGTGTGCGTGTGTGTGTGTGTGTGTGCGTGAGCGTGTGTGTGCGTGTGCGCGCGTGTGTGTGTGCGTGTGTGTGTGTGTGTGTGTGCGTGTGTGTGTGCGTGTGTGTGTGCGTGTGTGTGTGTGTGTGTGCGTGTGTGTGTGCGTGTGTGTGTGTGTGTGTGCGTGAGCGTGTGTGTGCGTGTGCGCGCGTGTGTGTGTGCGTGTGCGCGCGTGTGTGTGTGCGTGTGCGTGCGCGTGTGTGTGCGTGTGTGTGTGTGAGTCTGACCCCTGTCCCGCTCTCAGGTATCCAGGTGGGCAGCCACACAGGTATCCTCCATCAGTGTTGGAGCAGCCGTAACTGCAGGGGTTCTGGGAGTTGCACTCGTTGACGTCCTGACAGCCGCCCAGCATCTGCTCGAAGGAGAAGCCCGCGGGACACAAGCAGCGGAAACTGCCCAGTGTGTTGTGGCACGAGGCGCCGCCACATATCTGACTGTTCTGGCACTCGTTCTCATCTGCACACACACACACAGGGGTCAAAGGTCAGGGCGGTTCCCACAGCGCCACTGACCTACATTCACTTTCACAATCTCTCAGTGTGCTGACGGAGCAGGAGTTCACAACACGAGTTCACTGTTCTGATTGGCCAGACGGCTCAGTCTGCTGTGATTGGTCTACTCTGCTCTGATTGGCCAGACGGCTCAGTCTGTTGTGATTGGTCTACTATGCTCTGATTGGCCAGAGAGATCAGTCTGTTGCGATTGGTCTACTCTGCTCTGATTGGCCAGACGGATCAGTCTGTTGTGATTGGTCTACTCTGCTCTGATTGGCCAGACGGATCAGTCTGTTGTGATTGGTCTACTCTGTTCTGATTGGCCAGATGACTCAGTCTGTTGTGATTGGTCTACTCTGCTCTGATTGGCCAGACGGATCAGTGTGCTGTGATTGGTCTACTCTGCTCTGATTGGCCAGACGGATCAGTCTGTTGTGATTGGTCTACTATGCTCTGATTGGCCAGACGGATCAGTCTGTTGTGATTGGTCTACTCTGCTCTGATTGGCCGGACGGATCAGTCTGCTGTGATTGGTCTACTCTGCTCTGATTAGCCAGACGGATCAGTCTGTTGTGATTGGTCTACTATGCTCTGATTGGCCAGACGGCTCAGTCTGTTGTGATTGGTCTACTCTGCTCTGATTGGCCAGACGGATCAGTCTGTTGTGATTGGTCTACTCTGTTCTGATTGGCCAGATGGCCCACTCTGTTGTGATTGGTCTACTCTGCTTTGATTGGCCAGACGGCTCAGTCTGTTGTGATTGGTCTACTCTGTTCTGATTGGCCAGAGAGATCAGTCTGTTGTGTTTGGTCTACTCTGTTCTGATTGGCCAGACGGATCAGTCTGTTGTGATTGGTCTACTCTGTTCTGATTGGCCAGATGGCTCAGTCTGTTGTGATTGGTCTACTCTGTTCTGATTGGCCAGACGGATCAGTCTGTTGTGATTGGTCTACTCTGCTCTGATTGGCCAGACGGATCAGTCTGTTGCGATTGGTCTACTCTGCTCTGATTGGCCAGACGGATCAGTCTGTTGCGATTGGTCTACTCTGCTCTGATTGGCCAGACGGATCAGTCTGTTGCGATTGGTCTACTCTGCTCTGATTGGCCAGACGGATCAGTCTGTTGTGATTGGTCTACTCTGTTTTGATTGGCCAGACGGCTCAGTCTGTTGTGATTGGTCTACTCTGCTCTGATTGGCCAGACGGATCAGTCTGTTACGATTGGTCTACTATGCTCTGATTGGCCAGAGAGATCAGTCTGTTGTGATTGGTCTACTCTGTTCTGATTGGCCAGACGGATCAGTCTGTTGTGATTGGTCTACTCTGTTCTGATTGGCCAGATGGCCCAGTCTGTTGTGATTGGTCTACTCTGCTCTGATTGGCCAGACGGCTCAGTCTGTTGTGATTGGTCTACTCTGTTCTGATTGGCCAGAGAGATCAGTCTGTTGTGATTGGTCTACTCTGTTCTGATTGGCCAGACGGATCAGTCTGTTGTGATTGGTCTACTCTGTTCTGATTGGCCAGATGGCTCAGTCTGTTGTGATTGGTCTACTCTGTTCTGATTGGCCAGACGGATCAGTCTGTTGTGATTGGTCTACTCCGCTCTGATTGGCCAGACGGATCAGTCTGTTGCGATTGGTCTACTCTGCTCTGATTGGCCAGACGGATCAGTCTGTTGCGATTGGTCTACTCTGTTTTGATTGGCCAGACGGCTCAGTCTGTTGTGATTGGTCTACTCTGCTCTGATTGGTCAGACGGATCAGTCTGTTGTGATTGGTCTACTCTGCTCTGATTGGCCAGACGGATCAGTCTGTTGCGATTGGTCTACTCTGCTCTGATTGGCCAGACGGATCAGTCTGTTGCGATTGGTCTACTCTGTTTTGATTGGCCAGACGGATTAGTCTGTTACGATTGGTCTACTATGCTCTGATTGGCCAGAGAGATCAGTCTGTTGTGATTGGTCTACTCTGTTCTGATTGGCCAGACGGATCAGTCTGTTGTGATTGGTCTACTCTGTTCTGATTGGCCAGATGGCCCAGTCTGTTGTGATTGGTCTACTCTGCTCTGATTGGCCAGACGGCTCAGTCTGTTGTGATTGGTCTACTCTGTTCTGATTGGCCAGAGAGATCAGTCTGTTGTGATTGGTCTACTCTGTTCTGATTGGCCAGACGGATCAGTCTGTTGTGATTGGTCTACTCTGTTCTGATTGGCCAGATGGCCCAGTCTGTTGTGATTGGTCTACTCTGCTCTGATTGGTCAGACGGCTCAGTCTGTTGTGATTGGTCTACTCTGCTCTGATTGGTCAGACGGCTCAGTCCGTTGTGATTGGTCTACTCTGCTCTGATTGGCCAGATGGCCCAGTCTGTTGTGATTGGTCTACTCTGTTCTGATTGGCCAGACGGATCAGTCTGTTGTGATTGGTCTACTCTGCTCTGATTGGCCAGACGGATCAGTCTGTTGTGATTGGTCTACTATGCTCTGATTGGCCAGACAGCTCAGTCTGCTGTGATTGGTCTACTCTGTTCTGATTGGCCAGACGGCTCAGTCTGTTGTGATTGGTCTACTCTGCTCTGATTGGCCAGACGGATCAGTCTGTTGCGATTGGTCTACTCTGCTCTGATTGGCCAGACGGATCAGTCTGTTGCGATTGGTCTACTCTGCTCTGATTGGCCAGACGGATCAGTCTGTTGTGATTTGGTCTACTGTTTTGATTGGCCAGACGGCTCAGTCTGTTGTGATTGGTCTACTCTGTTCTGATTGGCCAGACGGATCAGTCTGTTGCGATTGGTCTACTCTGCTCTGATTGGCCAGACGGATCAGTCTGTTGCGATTGGTCTACTATGCTCTGATTGGCCAGACGGATCAGTCTGTTGTGATTGGTCTACTCTGTTCTGATTGGCCAGACGGATCAGTCTGTTGTGATTGGTCTACTCTGTTCTGATTGGCCAGACGGCTCAGTCTGCTGTGATTGGTCTACTCTGTTCTGATTGGCCAGACGGATCAGTCTGTTGTGATTGGTCTACTCTGCTCTGATTGGCCAGACGGATCAGTCTGTTGTGATTGGTCTACTCTGTGCTGATTGGCCAGACGGATCAGTCTGTTGTGATTGGTCTACTCTGTTCTGATTGGCCAGACAGCTCAGTCTGCTGTGATTGGTCTACTCTGTTCTGATTGGCCAGACGGATCAGTCTGTTGTGATTGGTCTACTCTGCTCTGATTGGCCAGACGGATCAGTCTGTTGCGATTGGTCTACTCTGCTCTGATTGGCCAGACGGATCAGTCTGTTGCGATTGGTCTACTCTGCTCTGATTGGCCAGACGGATCAGTCTGTTGTGATTGGTCTACTCTGTTTTGATTGGCCAGACGGCTCAGTCTGTTGTGATTGGTCTACTCTGTTCTGATTGGCCAGACGGATCAGTCTGTTGCGATTGGTCTACTCTGCTCTGATTGGCCAGACGGATCAGTCTGTTGTGATTGGTCTACTCTGCTCTGATTGGCCAGACGGCTCAGTCTGTTGTGATTGGTCTACTCTGTTCTGATTGGCCAGACGGATTAGTCAGTTGTGATTGGTCTACTCTGCTCTGATTGGCCAGACGGATCAGTCTGTTGTGATTGGTCTACTCTGCTCTGATTGGCCAGACGGATCAGTCTGTTGTGATTGGTCTACTCTGCTCTGATTGGTCTACTCTGTTCTGATTGGCCAGACGGATCAGTCTGTTGTGATTGGTCTACTCTGATCTGATTGGCCAGACGGATCAGTCTGTTGTGATTGGTCTACTCTGCTCTGATTGGCCAGACGGATCAGTCTGTTGTGATTGGTCTACTCTGCTCTGATTGGTCTACTCTGTTCTGATTGGCCAGACGGATCAGTCTGTTGTGATTGGTCTACTCTGTTCTGATTGGCCAGACGGATCAGTCTGTTGTGATTGGTCTACTCTGCTCTGATTGGCCAGACGGATCAGTCTGTTGTGATTGGTCTACTCTGCTCTGATTGGCCAGACGGATCAGTCTGTTGTGATTGGTCTACTCTGCTCTGATTGGTCTACTCTGCTCTGATTGGCCAGACGGATCAGTCTGTTGCGATTGGTCTACTCTGTTTTGATTGGCCAGACGGCTCAGTCTGTTGTGATTGGTCTACTCTGCTCTGATTGGTCAGACGGATCAGTCTGTTGTGATTGGTCTACTCTGCTCTGATTGGCCAGACGGATCAGTCTGTTGCGATTGGTCTACTCTGCTCTGATTGGCCAGACGGATCAGTCTGTTGCGATTGGTCTACTCTGTTTTGATTGGCCAGACGGATTAGTCTGTTACGATTGGTCTACTATGCTCTGATTGGCCAGAGAGATCAGTCTGTTGTGATTGGTCTACTCTGTTCTGATTGGCCAGACGGATCAGTCTGTTGTGATTGGTCTACTCTGTTCTGATTGGCCAGATGGCCCAGTCTGTTGTGATTGGTCTACTCTGCTCTGATTGGCCAGACGGCTCAGTCTGTTGTGATTGGTCTACTCTGTTCTGATTGGCCAGAGAGATCAGTCTGTTGTGATTGGTCTACTCTGTTCTGATTGGCCAGACGGATCAGTCTGTTGTGATTGGTCTACTCTGTTCTGATTGGCCAGATGGCCCAGTCTGTTGTGATTGGTCTACTCTGCTCTGATTGGTCAGACGGCTCAGTCTGTTGTGATTGGTCTACTCTGCTCTGATTGGTCAGACGGCTCAGTCCGTTGTGATTGGTCTACTCTGCTCTGATTGGCCAGATGGCCCAGTCTGTTGTGATTGGTCTACTCTGTTCTGATTGGCCAGACGGATCAGTCTGTTGTGATTGGTCTACTCTGCTCTGATTGGCCAGACGGATCAGTCTGTTGTGATTGGTCTACTATGCTCTGATTGGCCAGACAGCTCAGTCTGCTGTGATTGGTCTACTCTGTTCTGATTGGCCAGACGGCTCAGTCTGTTGTGATTGGTCTACTCTGCTCTGATTGGCCAGACGGATCAGTCTGTTGCGATTGGTCTACTCTGCTCTGATTGGCCAGACGGATCAGTCTGTTGCGATTGGTCTACTCTGCTCTGATTGGCCAGACGGATCAGTCTGTTGTGATTTGGTCTACTGTTTTGATTGGCCAGACGGCTCAGTCTGTTGTGATTGGTCTACTCTGTTCTGATTGGCCAGACGGATCAGTCTGTTGCGATTGGTCTACTCTGCTCTGATTGGCCAGACGGATCAGTCTGTTGTGATTGGTCTACTATGCTCTGATTGGCCAGACGGATCAGTCTGTTGTGATTGGTCTACTCTGTTCTGATTGGCCAGACGGATCAGTCTGTTGTGATTGGTCTACTCTGTTCTGATTGGCCAGACGGCTCAGTCTGCTGTGATTGGTCTACTCTGTTCTGATTGGCCAGACGGATCAGTCTGTTGTGATTGGTCTACTCTGCTCTGATTGGCCAGACGGATCAGTCTGTTGCGATTGGTCTACTCTGCTCTGATTGGCCAGACGGATCAGTCTGTTGCGATTGGTCTACTCTGTTTTGATTGGCCAGACGGATTAGTCTGTTACGATTGGTCTACTATGCTCTGATTGGCCAGAGAGATCAGTCTGTTGTGATTGGTCTACTCTGTTCTGATTGGCCAGACGGATCAGTCTGTTGTGATTGGTCTACTCTGTTCTGATTGGCCAGATGGCCCAGTCTGTTGTGATTGGTCTACTCTGCTCTGATTGGCCAGACGGCTCAGTCTGTTGTGATTGGTCTACTCTGTTCTGATTGGCCAGAGAGATCAGTCTGTTGTGATTGGTCTACTCTGTTCTGATTGGCCAGACGGATCAGTCTGTTGTGATTGGTCTACTCTGTTCTGATTGGCCAGATGGCCCAGTCTGTTGTGATTGGTCTACTCTGCTCTGATTGGTCAGACGGCTCAGTCTGTTGTGATTGGTCTACTCTGCTCTGATTGGTCAGACGGCTCAGTCCGTTGTGATTGGTCTACTCTGCTCTGATTGGCCAGATGGCCCAGTCTGTTGTGATTGGTCTACTCTGTTCTGATTGGCCAGACGGATCAGTCTGTTGTGATTGGTCTACTCTGCTCTGATTGGCCAGACGGATCAGTCTGTTGTGATTGGTCTACTATGCTCTGATTGGCCAGACAGCTCAGTCTGCTGTGATTGGTCTACTCTGTTCTGATTGGCCAGACGGCTCAGTCTGTTGTGATTGGTCTACTCTGCTCTGATTGGCCAGACGGATCAGTCTGTTGCGATTGGTCTACTCTGCTCTGATTGGCCAGACGGATCAGTCTGTTGCGATTGGTCTACTCTGCTCTGATTGGCCAGACGGATCAGTCTGTTGTGATTTGGTCTACTGTTTTGATTGGCCAGACGGCTCAGTCTGTTGTGATTGGTCTACTCTGTTCTGATTGGCCAGACGGATCAGTCTGTTGCGATTGGTCTACTCTGCTCTGATTGGCCAGACGGATCAGTCTGTTGTGATTGGTCTACTATGCTCTGATTGGCCAGACGGATCAGTCTGTTGTGATTGGTCTACTCTGTTCTGATTGGCCAGACGGATCAGTCTGTTGTGATTGGTCTACTCTGTTCTGATTGGCCAGACGGCTCAGTCTGCTGTGATTGGTCTACTCTGTTCTGATTGGCCAGACGGATCAGTCTGTTGTGATTGGTCTACTCTGCTCTGATTGGCCAGACGGATCAGTCTGTTGTGATTGGTCTACTCTGTGCTGATTGGCCAGACGGATCAGTCTGTTGTGATTGGTCTACTCTGTTCTGATTGGCCAGACAGCTCAGTCTGCTGTGATTGGTCTACTCTGTTCTGATTGGCCAGACGGATCAGTCTGTTGTGATTGGTCTACTCTGCTCTGATTGGCCAGACGGATCAGTCTGTTGCGATTGGTCTACTCTGCTCTGATTGGCCAGACGGATCAGTCTGTTGCGATTGGTCTACTCTGCTCTGATTGGCCAGACGGATCAGTCTGTTGTGATTGGTCTACTCTGTTTTGATTGGCCAGACGGCTCAGTCTGTTGTGATTGGTCTACTCTGTTCTGATTGGCCAGACGGATCAGTCTGTTGCGATTGGTCTACTCTGCTCTGATTGGCCAGACGGATCAGTCTGTTGTGATTGGTCTACTCTGCTCTGATTGGCCAGACGGCTCAGTCTGTTGTGATTGGTCTACTCTGTTCTGATTGGCCAGACGGATTAGTCTGTTGTGATTGGTCTACTCTGCTCTGATTGGCCAGACGGATCAGTCTGTTGTGATTGGTCTACTCTGCTCTGATTGGCCAGACGGATCAGTCTGTTGTGATTGGTCTACTCTGCTCTGATTGGTCTACTCTGTTCTGATTGGCCAGACGGATCAGTCTGTTGTGATTGGTCTACTCTGATCTGATTGGCCAGACGGATCAGTCTGTTGTGATTGGTCTACTCTGCTCTGATTGGCCAGACGGATCAGTCTGTTGTGATTGGTCTACTCTGCTCTGATTGGTCTACTCTGTTCTGATTGGCCAGACGGATCAGTCTGTTGTGATTGGTCTACTCTGTTCTGATTGGCCAGACGGATCAGTCTGTTGTGATTGGTCTACTCTGCTCTGATTGGCCAGACGGATCAGTCTGTTGTGATTGGTCTACTCTGCTCTGATTGGCCAGACGGATCAGTCTGTTGTGATTGGTCTACTCTGCTCTGATTGGTCTACTCTGTTCTGATTGGCCAGACGGATCAGTCTGTTGTGATTGGTCTACTCTGCTCTGATTGGCCAGACGGCTCAGTCTGTTGTGATTGGTCTACTCTGCTCTGATTGGCCAGACGGCTCAGTCTGTTGTGATTGGTCTACTCTGCTCTGATTGGCCAGACGGCTCAGTCTGTTGTGATTGGTCTACTCTGCTCTGATTGGCCAGACGAATCAGTCTGTTGTGATTGGTCTACTCTGCTCTGATTGGCCAGACGGATCAGTCTGTTGTGATTGGTCTACTCTAGACAGCTCAGTCTGTTGTGATTGGTCTACTCTGCTCTGATTGGCCAGACGGATCAGTCTGTTGTGATTGGTCTACTCTAGACAGCTCAGTCTGTTGTGATTGGTCTACTCTGTTCTGATTGGCCAGACGGCTCAGGCTGTTGTGATTGGTCTACTCTGCTCTGATTGGCCAGACGGATCAGTCTGTTGTGATTGGTCTACTCTAGACGGCTCAGTCTGTTGTGATTGGTCTACTCTGCTCTGATTGGTCAGACGGCTCAGTCTGTTGTGATTGGTCTACTCTGCTCTGATTGGTCAGACGGCTCAGTCTGTTGTGATTGGTCTACTCTGCTCTGATTGGCCAGACGGAAAGAAACACAGTCAGACAGACAGACAGACACATAGACAGACAGACAGACAGATTGAGGTGTCTCACCGACGCACTGGTTCCACTGGTAGTGCTGTAAGTATCCCTGAGGACAGCTGCATCTGTAGCCGCCCACCAGATTCTGACAGCCGTGCTGACAGCGATGGTTCCCGTCACACTCGTCCATGTCTGACACACACACACACACACACACACACACACACACACACACACACACACACACACACACACACACACACACACACACACTGTATTAGTGGGATATTTTAATGGACACAGTCCTGTGTGTGTGTGTGTGTGAGAGTGAGAGAGTGTGTGTGTGAGTGTGTGCGCGCGTGTGTGTTTGTACCTTCACAGTGCTGTCCATTGGGGTCGAGGGAGAATCCTCTCTGACAATCACAGTTGAAGCTGCCGGGGCTGTTCTGACACACTCCGTTCGGGCCACAGAGACCCGGCTCAGAGGTGCATTCGTTATTATCTGTCACACACACACACACACACACACACACACTTCATCACTCTAATTCATAGGTCGCAGTGTCAGAACAGGAAAGGGAAGGGCTCGAGGACAGTCATG